TTTTTTTATTTTAATAATAATTTGCAATTTATTTTGGCCGCTGTGACGTGGCTTTGATCATTGTTGCTGTTGTTGTTGGCAACAGGCTTGCCAAGTTATTTGGCGCAATTCCGCCAAAGCGTAACAAACCCCACAACAAATTGCTGCTAGCAGCAGCAACATGCAGCAGCAACAGCAGCAGCAACAGCAACAATCAACATTAAGATGGGGCGGGGGCCAGTGGACGGGGCGTGGCATTTGATCGCATGCAGCGAAGCATGAAAATCCAAATGGAAATTGCAGTCCGAAAGGCACAAAACAATTAAAAAAAGAGTGAACAGAAAAAAGTGGAGAAAAAGAGTTGTTGTTGTTGTTGCTGTTGTTGTTGCTGTTGTTGCTGCTGTGCAACTGAGCAAAGCGAATGCAGTTGCCATTGTTGTTGACGATGTCGTTGTTGTTGTTGTTGTTGTCATTGTCATTGTTGTTGTTAGTTTTGTTCGGCTAGCTCAACAAATTGGGCAACTATTTGCATTGGCTTTGACACTGTCGCCAGCAGCAACAACAGCAGCAGCAACAGCAACAATAACAGCATTGATAACAGCAACAACAACTACATACATACATATGTACATATATGATTAATGCTTCTCAAAGTGTCGAGTAAACAACAAATAGCAACAACAATTGAAATTGCTGTTAAATTTAGCCAAAAGGTGAGAGCAACCAAATTGGGAAGGCCAAAGGCGATTTCTTTTCCCATTCAATTGAAAATTGAGAGAGATTTAACAGTTGAATATATTGAACTAAGCGAATAATGGAATAATAGAAGTATAGAAGAAGCCTTCAATATAATTGATAAGAGAATACACTAGATCAATATAAGATATAGATAGATATAGATATAGATATAGATATAGATATAGATATAGATATAGATATTTATCTTTAGAATTGATATAGGTATACGTGACCACCTTATATATAGTATGGATAGACCAAAGAAGACAACTGCTTTTGCGGTTGCTGCTTAGTAAGATATATTATTTATACATATGTGTGTATATAGAGCTCCGTCTCTTTCTTTCTCCCTCTCTCTGCATCTCTGAGGGTTACGCGTTTCGTGACATATTGCTAATACCTTCTGCAAGTGTATAACAAATTGAACTTGCCTTGGGCAGATACAGACTCACACTCACACTCACAGCAACACTCGCACACACACGCCCACCCGAAAGCCTTCAATTTTCCAATTTTCCATGGAAAACGTAGAAGCCGAACACAAAAAAAAAAAAAACTAAAATACAATGAGAAGTGAATTTGGCGTTTGGTGCATATTTTTAGA